TGTGTGTATGTGTGTGTATGTGTGTGTATGTGTGTGTATGTGTGTGTATGTGTGTGTATGTGTGTGTGTGTGTATCAATGTGTGTGTGTGTATCAATGTGTGTGTGTGTGTGTGTGTGTGTGTGTGTGTGTGTTGGTGTGAGTGTGTGCATAAGGGAGCAGTGTGATATTGAAAGTGAGATTAGTTGTTAAGATGGAGGATCAACTTTAGTAGACCGACTGTGTTGGTGGAAGAAGTCGAGACTACGGAATAGCAAAGCTGATATCAAACGACATAACAAATGCTCAGTTAAACAAGAACGGTTGGATGTATGAATAGTTGTATATAATACATAATAAATGGAACGGTCGATATAGTGTGAAAACAATGTTGAGTTTGAGAGAGAGAGAGAGAGAGAGAGAGAGAGAGAGAGAGAGAGAGAGAGAGAGAGGCAGAACTTTAAACTTTTAAAACACTTGTTTGTGCAAAAAACATCGTTCATAACAGCTTTATGAGAGGCTCACAGTCGAAAACTCCGTATCTCGAACTCAGTGCAAAAACATAGACATTAATTTTAAAAGAGCAGTGGCAGATGGACAATCTATTATAGAAAGGCAACAAGCTAGAAGCGGCGTGGACCTATACATGAATACTATTACGAATGTCGCAGGAGTCTCAGCTTGAGCGTGTGGTCGCGTGGTATGTGTGTCCGAGTATTTAAGTAGATACACAAATAAATAAATGATAAAAATACAAACATTTTATAGATCCCTGCGGGTAAATTTGGGTTACAAAGGCAAACATACATACGTAAATACATAATTAGAAATGCATACACGCATAAATACACAGATAAATGCATATATAAATAGACAATATTACACCAATACAGAACAATTTCACAAACACACAATTGCTGGTCGCTACTGTGTAACACTCTATTTTTAGCTAGGGTAGTTGTATCTTGCTCAAGGACACACCCCAGTGACCACCTGTGTAAATCCAGTGTCACAGACACTTGCTTGACCTTACATTTTAGCCTGAGATTACTTTAAACTAAGCCACTGGAACACCCAACACACACACAATTCTACAGAGTACCACTTGAACCAGAAGCCGTCAATTATAATTAATACGCTTTGATAATTCCTGTTTGCTTTTTTCCATGCAACTTTGAACTTCGATCCTATACTGAATAGCAGACACGTACATCTTTTTAAGAAAAAGTGAAACGGAAGCAATGACCGAATTTTGGAGAATTTTATAAGGATACATATCGATCGGAACGTACAATATAAAAAGTTCAGTTCAAATCATGAAAATCCGGCTCCGTCATATTCTTAGGAATATTGAATGCTATCTTTGTTTAAATTTTGAGGACGCAAAAGTGTCATTTCTTCTAAAAAGTGATGCAAAGGTTTACACCATCAGAATTTTATAACATATCGATGACCGTATGCAGACGGGTATGATATGGTCTGACTGAACCCCCCTCCCCCCCGAGAAACACAGAGAAAGAGGCAGACAGACAGACAGACAGACAGACAGACAGACAGACAGACAGACAGACAGACAG